CACACACACACACACACATACACACACACACACACACACACACATACACACAAACAAACAACCAACCAACCAAACAAACATCAACTTTGGTAAATCAACGAAAATATTAACAAGCACACAACAAACAAACAGAGACTCACATGTGATACTTGTGAAGATCTCACTGATGCCGATAAGCGTGAACTGTGGGACCTGCACGAACACAGACATGCTGGAGGCGTTGAACTGCGTGTCTGACAGGGTCTGGACGTGCATGCCGCCCGGCTCATTCATGGCTTCCTTCCTGTAGATCTCCACAACGCCCGCCACAATCACAGCCAGGGCGGCCACCACCATGCCAATGCCTGGATAAGAGGTGGGGTGGAGTGGGGAGGAGTGGGGAGGGGGGAAGGTGGGGTGATAGGAGGTGGGGTGGGGTAGGGTGGGGGGAAGGTGGGGTGATAGGAGGTGGGGTGGGGTAGGGTGGGGGGAAGGTGGGGTGGTGGTCATTATTAGAAAACTATGTAAAATCCGTCTTTTTTTTATAGATTAGGTGGCTTAAAAAAAAAAAGTTTTAGTAAAGTTTTTACGGTGCTAGCAACTGCATAAGGTCATAGGAGCGCCAAGGGGTGGATGTCAACAGAAAAGTCCAAACTGGAAATTAGGCTTTCTCTGCTCACCTCTCTAGCCTCTTACAGCACGAAGTCTTCTTCGACTCCGGAAATAGCAGTTCACAAGAGAGTGACAAACATACAAAAGAAGTAAAGGGAAAATGATGATAGTAAGGACGAGGAAAGAAAAAGCAGCAGTTCCTCCTATGTTGTTTCGGCCCAGTATGAGCATGACATTGATAAGTCAGCCCCTTTACTACAAAATTATCCCCTTTGAGAATGGCCTAAAGACACTTCAGTCAATAGCATTGCCCGGATCGTTTACGAGGCGGGCTTTTTCAACTATGCTTGTCAGGGCCAAACCGGGGTTTAAATTTGGGGGCTTAGGTGTTTTACACCCCATTTGACACAACTTGTGAGGCGGAATTCGACACTGCATGTCCTATGTCCCCCTCTACAGTTATGATTTTATGGGATGGTTTTTGCTTAACTAGACAGAAGGTAAAGATACTGGACAAGTTAACAACATCACTTGGAACTGCAAGAACGACAGACACCATCGCAGCAACACAAGACAGAGTGAAGTGGAGGTCCATGATCGCCCACGCCAGTCGGCAAGGCACTGGGTGATGATGATGTATGTTGCGAAATACGTTTCACGTATTCCATTTATAGTCCGAATACAACTATCCTTCATTCCAATACTTCAAAAAGGGTTCATTATACGCCCCTCCCTTTTTATCCATACCCCCAAACAAACCCTACATCTCTACCAAACCTGTACCAAACAAACAAGCTAACAAAATTAATATATACAAGTCATAAACAGAACAAGAACAGCTACAAAATACGCTTTGGCGTGTACTGACCTATCCTCTTGAGGTAGGTGAGCGGTTTTCCCATCTTCTCAAAGCACGGATATAGCCCTCTGTCTACGATGGGGATCAGAACAATGATGCTGATAGTGTTGAACACGTTAAGGGCAGCTGCTGGCAAGTTTATGTCACCCACACGGATGTCCATGCGCTCTGCTTGCACGAAGAATGTATTTGACATCTGTGGAGAGAACGAGTGAGCAAAATTTGTGTGACCGGATGGCAGACCGAATCTTTGAAGGGATAAAAAAAATTACGAACGCACACTTAATAGTACTAAATGCCAAGGCTGTTATGATGATCCTCTTAGCTGCTTTGTCCATGCAAAACTTTCACAAAGTTGAGATGCCTATCTGTAGGCAGAGTAAAAGGTTGATAAGGCGAATGTGTAAACCGGTGAAGAATCATCGAAAGACAAATGATGGATGGATGGATGAATGGATTGGTGGATGAATGGATGGATGAACGTAAGTTCATGACGTCGGTAACGACATACTCCTTTTGATATAAGGAACGAAATTAAAACAAGAAAACAAACAAAACATTATTATTATTATTAT